GATTAAAGCAGTGGTTTGTTTTACATTTGCAAATCCTGTCCTGCTTATTTGGGTAGCATCCTAGAGATGACTTTATTTCATTGACTTTCTAGGAGACTTTCTCCAGAAAAACTTTTCCTCTTGTCTCTGGCATATTCAAGACTAGGGGAGAGTATTCCTGTGACTCAGTTGAATTCAGTCTGCATATCTCTAGAGACTTTTCTTTGTCCTAGAATGTTCTTTGACACTGTATTTGTTACGGGGTACCTTCTCATTCTTCATCCATGATGCCTCTTTACAGTGGAAAGGCGGAGATCTTAACATTTGGAGTTGGTTCTGGGAATCTCCTTTTCATTCTTCCTGCCTGAAAGTTCTTGTACTCCTTGAAGGTTACAACTCTGACTTCCACATATATTCCTTTGGCATTTGATCTTGTTAACAGCAAATTTAATGTTTGAGCTGACATTAATCAAAATAATAGTATTTGTTGCAGCATATCCTCTGTTGAAGGTCTGTCTGCCTCTCTGTACCAAGGTTCTCTGAAGTGTCAGCTGGCTTTTTGTTTTTCTGCCTCATTTTATATTCTTCTTTATTTCTCCATAAGCTTATTATGTTTTTCCATTATGTCAGTCTTCGTGTGTCCATCTTCTCTTTGATGGTAAAACCTTGCTGCCTGCTTTAATGTTGGCAACCACTGTCCTTAGAGGGGGGGAAAAAGTGTTGTTATTCTTACAATTGTCATTAATGTTAGTGAAGTTACAGTAGTACTTACAGACTTCATCGAACTTTGCTCTCCTTCAAAAGCACATCCTTGCTAGCAGTGTCTTTGATCCTTTTGGATTTCAGAAAAGCAGCCACCTGAGACCAAGTTGTAGTTCTTTTTATCTGCTATTGTATCATCTAAGCGGGTACAGAGAATGAAAGGTGTCTTCATGCTTCTTTTTAAAGGTGTCAGTGTTTGTTTTAGTACATGGAACACATTAAGTTAAATAATTTGCCTGTGTGAAAGGGCTTTTGTTACTTCTGCTGCAAATGAGGGTCACCATGAGAAGAATTTGGAAAGAGAAATGCTATTTCTTTGTACAGTGCCTTTTTTTTTTTTTTACCAGCAGTATTTGCTTTTAGCATAGAGTCTAGCAGTTCAAGTTAACTTGAGTCATATTGTACGACAGACTTTGCAAAGAGAACAAAAAGATAAGAATCCAGTCTGCATTCAGGAAACCAAGGCTAAGTATAAAACCTGAGACAGTGGCAGCGCATAAGTTGATTGGGAAAATATAAGGAAGAGCTTATCAGCAGGCATGCGCCCCCTGTTTTTTATGCGCCCCATGGAAGGCCCAGTCATACGATCCATCACCCTTTTCAACTCATGGTTTGTACCTGCTTTGTCCATGTGGGTTTCCACAATGCAGCAGGAAAAAGTGAGGCAATTAGTAGGAAAATGTGAGACTAAAGAAACAAAAAAGGTCCATGGGAACTGGAGGGCAGGTGTAGGACGTGGAATGGCTGACCTTTTGATACTTTTGGTTTAAAGCTGTGCTGTGTCAAGGTGGATTTTTGATCAAGTTTTTGGCCCTTTTTGAATTTAACATCTTGGAACTTTAAACAAAGCTTTCACAATTTCCGTCCTGTTGAACTTGTGTTTTCCTTTTCTCAGCTGACTTGAAGAAAGACTTGGGTGAATATGTGAAAACTCAGCTTCCAAAAACCACAAAATTGGTAAGAAATGAGAAGCGGGAAGGCTTGATTCGAGGAAGGATGGTTGGAGCCTCTCATGCCACAGGTATACTTTCTTGTTTCTCGTTGCCTAGCACACTGTGACCATATGTTAGTAGGGTGACTTCGCTTTCTGTAGTGCAGCACTTTTAGATGTTGAATGTTTGATCTGCGATTGCTTTAGCCCACTCTGGGGGCTCTGCATGTCATGCCATGTTCTAAGCTACACAACTTAGCACAGGGAAAGCAAGATTTGGGATAATGCTATCTTAGGTGAAAGGCATTTAGAAATTGTTTCACAATATCAATGACTTTGAAATAAGCTAATTGCATTGGTCTTTGTCTGTTTTATTAAATGATGTTGCAACAGCTACACAAAATGTCTAATGATAACTGGAGACCTTAACTGACATTACTTGTGTGTTTAAGTATTTACATCATGCAATTGACAATGATCTTCATAAAGCTTTCTCCAGTATTTCCTCATAGCTTTGCTGAATTAGTCCTCACCTGAGGTTTTTCTGTCCTAAATGAGAAGGAAGCAAAGAGGACTTGGTACTTGCTTATACATAAATATAGAGTAGATGTAATAACTGTTTTTATAGTTTGTAATTAACTTCAGTAAATCTGTGCTGTGTAAGAGGGGGGAGGTGTTTTTTCAAGTCACCCAGGCAATGACTTGGCAAATTTGAGTCTTTTAAACCTTGTCTGAACTGTTGATATGTGGGATTTTTTTTCTTCCTGTGGAAGTTTGCTTTCGATAACATGAGTTCATTTTTTAGAATGGGTCAGTGAAATACTAGAACAAAACCAGTATTTGACAAAATTTAGTGAGGCAGTGTAGAATTTTCCCTATTCCTGCACTAAAAGAATGTTGGCTCGGGAACATCTCCCTCTGTGCTAGGTATTGTGGTCACAGAATACTTTCGTCATGTTTCGTGTGAAAGCTATCACAGTAAAATGGCAATCTGCTTCTTTATTAGGGTAAACTCTAATCAAGTTTCTAATTCACCAATCTAATTGCAATGTTTCTTATACAAGATTTTCTGTAGTGGTGAGTGTTAACTGGGATAAACTATATTTGGTGCTTTATGTACACTGTGATCCTGTTACCATAATATGCTTCCAGGTTAATTTCATTGACATCTGAGAAAGTATGCACTACTTTGTCCAATAATTTTGAGTGGCAGATAAAGTCTTTTAATTGATGCTTACTCATTAGCATTGTAATGGCATAACCCAGAGAGAAAATTGTGCTTGCACTTTCAAGCTGTGCTAGGATTTGTTGAAGTTAGTGCAATTTTAAGTCATTTTATTGCTTTTCTGAACTGTTGGAGTCTGATTTTTTTTTTTTTCCCCTCCTCAGTCAAATGCTGTCTGTTCTTAATGGATGACGTTATATTTGTACATTTCCAAGTTGTTTTCTTTAAAGCTCTTTCCCATCTCTTCCACGTTATTCTAGTGTTACGTAAATTTTATGTTGTGTCATAAAAATTCGAAGGACTTTTTAGACAAACTGAGCCAAAGGTGTCTCATGGATTAAGCTGTCGTCTCTGACCACGATGGATAGTCCCCATGTAAACTGATGGGACTGAAGTGTTGCTTGGTCCAATACTGGTGGATTTGGCTGTGCCCATTTAGGGCATTCACTCTCCTTTTAAGCTGGTATGAATCCACAGTCACTCTAGAGCTAATGGAAAGGGGAGATGCTCTTTATATTCAGGAACTGAAATGCTGTGGCCTGTGTCATGGCTGAATGCAGATTAATTCATCAGAATGGCTTAGTTTCAGATCCACAGATCTTAGCTGCAACAGTAAGTGGGTGGATGCTGGAGTATGACATAAAGCGAGCTCAAAGCGATTACAGTCAGTGGACAAAACCAGTTTTGTCGTGGGGAAAATTAATCCAGCCCAATATCTGTCATCTTCGGCTATGTCTGTAGTCTGACTCAGGCATGGGAGGTGCTCTGCAGTCGGATGAATGTACTGCCTGGCTCTTAGAGTATTGGTCTGATGATGCTTCTTTTAAGGTACAGCAGCTCTGCTGAATCTGGGTAGAACACGAGTGCTATAAAACTCGGTGAAAGAAATGCAAATAATGGCCCACATGAGCAATTCATAGCTACATGTGACTAGCCAAGATCTACCTTCTGCCTGTGTGACTGAACTAATCCCTGGGGAATCTCTGGCCTGTCAGCATTTCCAAGTGCAGATGGTGTTTCCCCTCTGTTATGCAGGGTGGTGAGGATACTGCTGATACTCTGCTGCCGATACAATTGTGTATGTGTTTGTTTCATGTTGCCATGGATCTTTGTGTTTTTGTGCTTTGGCCTCTGTAGGGCAGGTGCTGGTGTTCCTGGACAGTCACTGCGAGGTGAATGAGATGTGGTTACAACCCCTGCTGACTCCCATCAGAGAAGATCGCAGCACTGTGGTGTGCCCTGTGATTGACATAATCAGTGCTGACACGCTTACCTACAGCTCTTCCCCGGTTGTGCGTGGAGGGTTTAACTGGGGCCTGCACTTTAAGTGGGATCTTGTTCCTTTGTCAGAACTGGAAGGACCCGAGGGAGCCACTGCTCCAATCAAGTAAGGTTCCTCCGACGTGGTGTGAAGCTCTGTGTAACATATGGATGACCAGAAGCACTTCTTAAGCGTTGTGGAGTATATCTGGGTGTGCTGTTTTAGAATTAGATGCCTAAACTGTCAAATATCTGACTTATTTTGCCTAGAAGTAGTTTTGGTTACTATTACCTATTTCAGTTTAATTTTTCACATTTAGTCATGAATTAGATGTATCTGTCTTATTAGGTCAAGAAAGCACACTTTTAGAGAGTGCTGGTACAACAGCAGCTTTTGCTAAAGACAGAAGTCTTAAGGAGCTTATGCTATTCTGTATTAAATCTGTTCAATAATTTCACTGTTGAGCTATGCATTGATGTTTGTTTCCAGCCTGTCAATGCATAGGGGTTAATGATGAGTTTAATAACTGCCTTTGTGCTAGTGATAGCTTGCATATCCCACTAATATAAGTTCTATAATTTCTGTGATGAAAGCTAAAGAATTGTTAGATTGGGAAAATATGTTTTTGTGGTAATAGGAAGGTGGTTTCCTAGCTGATGGGAGAGAACATCAGGGCATATTTTCTATGTCAACATAATTTTTTTTTCTTTAGATTTCATTTATGTTTTTCCTCAAGCGAGTATTTTGTTGTAAAGCTTTCTAAATAAACACCAATGGGTGTGAAAACCATCTTTAAAATATTACTTGTCTCTTTGCACAATGTGGCAAATGCCTAAAACTGACTGTTGAAAGCCTGTCCTATTGTTTTTGTGGTCTGAAATGCTGGAGAGTTGTACTGAAACAAAAGTCTTGGTAAAACTTAACACTAAGACTTGAAAGTTACCTTCCTTCATTGTTTCACCATTGATGGCTTGCCTGTTCAGAACTGGCAGTATCTGGATCCTACTGGACATGTAACTGCTAAAAAATGATGTCAGTAGACGCTTTTTTTAGCAGCAGATTCATATGGTTCAGACATGAGAACAGAAGCTGTCTCAGTGGGAATCTGTTCACGAGATGGGCCAGGGCTGTAGAGCAATGGCAAGAAGCTGGGTTGTGCTTTTTCTAGTCACAGGTATCTATCTCAGTACAGAATTCAGGTTTGTAAGGTGGAAGAACTTTACCTTTCTTACAAACTGTCTCCTTGCACAGAATGTGGTACTTCTATAACATTTGCAAAGTGAATCAGAAATTGGGCAGTGTCATCTCTGTCATTCTCTTTTCTTGGACTGCAAATGAACTGCATTTCAGGCTGACCCAAGCAACTCCAGCACAGTTCTGTGCTGTGGTCTGACAGCTGTGCAGTTAGTCTTTCCACGTCTACCCATCACAAGATTTGGTCTGAGAAGCCAGGAAACTTCTTAAGTTACTTAACAGTTTGACTGGCTTGTTTGGAAGTGTCACTGTGGCAGTTTCTGAAGCTAGAAGGGAAAGGACAGACTGGGAAAATCTGAATGGGGGACCAGCATAGAAAATCTTAAAATCTTTATTCCGCTAAGAACTGTTCTCCCAATGAATCTGGAGTATGCCTGAAGGTTAGTTCCTGCTGTGTTCAACACTGTTGTTGCATTCCTTCAACTCGCTTTTAGGAAGAACTCCCATGGAAAAGGTAGAGGACTTTATAGTTAAAGGGAGTCTGATCGTTTGAAAAGATGACATTTCCTGAGTATGAACGTGACTTTTCCTATTTAGAGGTCTCTGCATGCTTGGGAACAGAAACAAGATTGCTACTTAACCTTTGAAAATGGCTTTTCATCAAATGGAAAGTCTTATGTTTTACATTTTGGAGACCTTCATAATGAAATATTTTGATGTCAGGGATGGAAAAATTGAGAGCAACCCTTCAACTCAGGTTTTAAAGTTACAAGAACTGTAGTTGAAAATTGTGTGAGAACAGGGAAGGAAATCCAGACTTCGGCTTGGTTTCATCTCAGGCTTTTGCTAACAAGGACAAAAAAAAGCCTGTTCCTAGCCCACTGTATGTTCCAACTATCATATCATATATTATATATTTATGTAGTGGTTTTAATCTCTTTTATACTATTCTAGGGCATCCACATTTTATAACTTTGTTGTGATACAGTAGCAATTCAGTCTAGAGACTGTACAATGGGGATCATACACAGATTTTTACAAAATAGAGCACCATTCTAATAACATACAGGCAAGGCGAAAAAGTGGGAAACCTTGAAGAGGACATCTGTGCAAATACACAAACTGTAGATAACTTACCAATAAAGTCATCGTTGCATCAATGCTGAAACAATGCTGCTCCTGGTATTTAAATTCTATGGAGACAGAGTAGCGTTTCTTTTGTCAGCCTCCTGACTTGTATAATTAAATTTGGACCTTGTGTCTAGATCTAATTTAATATGCGATACTCTGGATTCTGCTCTTTCTGCAGTTCAGTCAAGCCCGGTCTGTATAATTTGCCCCTGTAAGAGGGGGAAGAACACATTATTGTGTGCAAATTACAGTTTGTAACTGTAGGGCAAATAGGTTCTGCTAAAAACAGATGTAATTAAAGGCAGCTCCTAAGTTTCACTGTAGAAAACTTGATGATGGACTCCAAACTCGCACAGGTTTTTACTGTTTTCTTTTTTTAGTAGAGACACAGCCACTTTGTTCCTTTTTCCCTGTGCTATCCTTTTTCCTCATTTTTGCTATACAAAGAAATATGGTTTATATGTATTGGAATAGTGAAAGATCATAAATACCATTTATAGATCTACCGTTGAAAATGTTTTGAGACTAGAAGTGTGATCTGATGATTTCTAGTGTCTGCAGGATTTAGATTGTATTATGTAGGTCGAAATTTAAGCTTTGGGACTAGCCGATTCAGCTGAAATTACTGGTTTTTTACTCTAAAAGAAAATTAACTTCTTTCAATGTTACTTTTTAGGTCACCTACTATGGCTGGTGGCCTGTTTGCCATGGATCGTGAGTACTTTAATGAACTTGGACAGTATGATAGTGGCATGGACATCTGGGGAGGAGAAAATCTGGAAATATCTTTTCGGGTAATCTAGCTTTTATGTGTATTGGACTATGAACCTTATTAGTGTCTGCAGCTTCTCTTCCCTATGTACAGTTTCTTTAGCACTGGAATAGCTATCTGCACGCAGAGATTGGTACTTTTATTCCCAGGAAGGATGCCTTCAGCACACAGTAACTGCCTTTCCAATAATCTTCAAGTTAAGTTTTAGTGGGAAGCTTAAAGAGAATTTTGAGTTCTGTAGTTAAATAATTGTGTCTTTTTATTTTTCTGGTGGAGCATTTCTTAATACCTATAGAGAAGCATAAGAAAGAATAGTCATGCATATTTCTGAAATGAGTTTGAGCAATGTCTAATGAATTTCATGAGTCGGTTAAAAAGATGTGTGGCTTACAGCAAAGTTGATGATAAGTAAACTTACTATATTTTCTTAGACATGTATGGGGCTTTTCAGATACTTCAGCCTCTTTTTTGAGGGTCTGGAAATGTAGAGGTTTGGGTTTTTTTGTAACTAACATGAGTCATATAGAGGAGTCAGCTTGGCTGGAAAAATAATGAAAAAGTTGTAATCACGGAATTCAAAAGTGGTGCTTCTCTGGGCTTCGTATATTTTATCTCATCTTCCCTGTCACTCTCCTGAAAGAAAGTCAATGTCCTGTTTACCTCCGTGCTTTTGTAAAGTGGATTCATCAACAGGTTTGACAAGAGTCTGCCTGAAAATGAGGTGCTGTCATGACAAATATGAAATGGGGATTAAAAAGCAAAGTTAACATAACAAAAAAGAAACCCAAAACCAAACACACAACCCCTATACTTAAGAGAAATCTGTCAAATTGGATCATTAGAGAAACCAAGATTAGAGCTTGGAAATAAGAACTGGCATTTCATAAATTTGAGTGACTTTAAAAGGGTATGTACTGAACAGATAGAATCTTCCAAGTTTTTAGTATAAAATACAATTGTTAGATATCTGAGTAGAAGTGTATGGAGTGTGAGGAAATTGTGTATTACACAGTAACAATAGTTTTAACAAAAAGGGCTTTGACAAATTGGAGTATATTTGGAGAGCTTTATAAGGTCTGGAAGCCCCCTCTCCCTGCACGAGAGTTGTAAAGAACTTTATCTTAGCCAGGAGGAGCTTTAGAAGTGATTTGATTATAAACTGCTAATGTGGGAAAACTTCTGAGATTGGAGAACGCATTAGTCCAGCGAAGGTCCAATGATGATGATTTTCTGGAAGCCGAATTTTCAAAAGAAATTTAAAAAATTAAATGGAAGTAGAGTGTAGATGAAATCTGGATTGGGGATGCAATTAAGCTGGATTAAGGCATCTGAATGTCAGCAGTATTTCTGAGTTCTCATATACTTAACAGAAACAAACAGCTGTGTAAATAGGTGAGTATACTTAGCTGAAAAGCTCTTCAGGCTCCATTGATGATATTGACTGATCTTCATTATCTGTCCTGGGAGTGTGACATGTAATTCTTGTGTGGGTAAATGAATTTAGGTACCTTAATCTGCAAGTTGAATCTCAGCCCATATATTTCAGTGGTTTTGAATAGGTCATTAGAGCATAAAATTTTTCTAAAATTTACTATTTGTTTCATGAAGGCCATGACGTGTTATGTGGAAAGGGTGATGATATGACAAAAATAGTCTTTTCTAACCTGAAGATCTAATAATCTGACTTGTCAGAAAGCATGACATGTAGGTCAGCACTGCTGACACCTAGTCCTGTCATCACTGACACCTAGTCCTATCATCATGTATAAACCTACCTAAGTATCCTGTGAAGAAGGGAAGGAGGTAGTCAGCCTTGTGCTGACACCTAGTCCTATCATCATGTGTAAACCTACCTAAGTATCCTGTGAAGAAGGGAAGGAGGTAGGCAGCCTTGTCAGTATACGTACAATAAAGCGTCTTCTGCTTTTGTGTGGACAGATCTGGATGTGTGGTGGTAGACTTCTGATCATCCCCTGCTCCAGGGTGGGACACATTTTCCGTAAAAGGCGTCCTTATGGCTCCCCAGGGGGACAGGACACTATGGCCCATAACTCACTGAGGCTGGCACATGTGTGGATGGATGAATATAAGGTAAGAGACAATTCTAGGTCATGAAATAAGATTATTAACTGGCTTATTTGTCAAAGAACTGTGTCATAGTGGAGTTTGTTAGCACCTCTAATGGAGTCTTCCTTCTGGAGTCTGATTTCCTAATGTCAATTCCAGTATGTATTCCTAAATTCTATAGGATAGTTGTTTGGCTTTTGAGGGCTCAAGTCTCCTCAGTGTTACTTGTACTGCCTGCAGGAAATTAGGTTTTATGCCTTTTTAATGAAGTAAAAGACGGTGAATGAGTTCTTGCAAGCTGTGCATTGCTTTGTGTCCAAATCAGTATTAAGTGACAGCCGTATACTGCTGTATACCTTCAGGCAGTTTCTGTGTTGATGAGACAGGAATTTCGTTGGTTGGTTGCTTGCTTTCTGTTTTAATGAGCAGTCTGATTCTTAGTCTGTCTTGCCCTGGAAGATCAATCAGGATTGACTTCTGGATTCAAGGGCAAATGTATTCCTTCCTCGTCTTCAGATCTTGGTCCTTGTGCTCTTGAATGTAGATCAGGTTTTTGTGAAGTCCTGATCTTTATGATACTTGAGGACATTTTGTCTTGTGTGGCCAGCTCCTGTGGTGCCTATGATTTCCATACAAGACATATTTTATTAACTTTATATTCTTTAGAGGTTTATGTTTCAAACCCCATCCTTTATCTTGATGTTCAGTCAGTCTGAGGAACGTATTAGGGGTCATTAATTTTTTGTCTCCATTCTCCAGCTCTGTAATGCATTGGTAGATTTGATCTATCACTTTCCCTTTTATTGGTGTTTGGGCACAGTTGTTTTGTGATTAATGATGGCTTTGTCTGAAGCTTGGATTGATTCTTTGTTATAATTTCCAGCTAATACTGCTTTGTCCAGCAAGGACTTAAACTGCTGATTCTAGCAGTCTCTTATCACAGATGTGTGTCCTGAATGTTTCCAGCTGTTTCTAATCTGATTCTCTGGTAGTTGCCAGAGACTGTCAATATGACAAGTTTATGTATGGAAGGCAAGTCTCGAAATATTTTTGTTTTTATAAGTGTAAAGCAAATATTTAGGGGCAGTATAATTTACTGAAGTTATTGTATGATGAATAGTAAAAGATAAGACTTAAAGGACCTGTTTTGCAGCAAAGAACAAATATTAATATTTAATAAATAAAATTGCATGATGGAAGGGAAACAGCAAAATTTTCGTAACTGTCAAAAGCAAATCTGAATCTCTTCTCTGCTTGCCCCCAACCTGTTTCTCTTAAATACAGGAGCAGTATTTTGCTTTGAGACCCGAGCTAAGGATGAGGAACTATGGAAATATTACTGACCGTGTAGAACTGAGAAAAAGATTGAACTGCAAGCCATTTAAGTGGTATTTGGATAATATCTATCCTGAGATGCAAATATCTGGGGCCAATGCCAAAGCTCCGCAGCCAGTTTTTATTAATCGAGCACAGAAACGACCAAAAATAATCAAGCGTGGAAGGGTAAGATAACATTTCTTAAAAATATGGAATTCTGTTTTTTTTAATTCTTTTGATATTCTTTCTGAAAGATTTGCTCAAATGCAAGAAAAATAGTGTGTTTCCATAGAACATAGAATTTTAGTTTTGCAACAAGCTGTGCTGAAAAGAACAGAATTTGTGCCTTTAGACAAAGGCAAATTAGTTTGATCTGTATTTCAGGTCATCTTCAGACTAGACACTATTCAGTGAGGTTTCTTGCCTGAAAGCTCTGAGTTATGAAGTTTTGGCATCTTCAGAATGCACTTTCATGGCTGTTAGTTCTGAAGATGGATTTGGATAGAGAAATGTGGCCTCAAATATTCACGCTCTTTGTTTATGATAAGACAACGTAATTAGTTTCCAAACTCATTGCTTTTACTGGATAATTTGCTAGTCTTGACTGTTAGGTAATGAGCAAAAAATGAGTTTTGCTCCTTTCTTCTTCAAAGTAGAAGTGAAGAGAGGTATTTTTACGTGTATTCATGAAGGAAATCGTGATTAATTTCATGCCTTAGCTCTGACACCTATGTTTATGGGTTTATATGCGGGCAAAGCCAGCATACAATTTCATCTGTTCTCTCCAGTGCTAAATTTGTCTGACGTGTGCTTTTTATGCTCCCCAAAATAATACCTTTAAATCTGAGACAATTTTCTCAAGGTCTTCTCTGTGAGAGAGGAGACCTTTGAATAAACTAGATCATGTACACGTGGATTATGGTTAGCAGAGTCACTTCTAGCCCAATAATTGGAAGCATTAAGTAGGGATGTAGCCCTCTCCACAAGGTTGCACAGTCTGCAGTAGCTGTTGACAGTTGCTGGTCCTGCAAGTAGATTCAGGCTGGAGGACCTGAGTTCGTGCAGGACTTACTGGCATCATTACAGTTTTGCCGGGAAGCAGCTATCTGGGAATCCACAGCTTGTTCAGTGTTTTTGTATTTGTATGCCAGCCAAGCTGTGAAGTTATTAGGACAACCGTGTAGCTTCCTGGAATGAAACTGATACGATGGGCTGATTCCTGTTGTTATTAAATGCTGTTATTCCCCTAGTCAGACCTCACTGCCCCCTCACCCCCCTTAAATTTAATAGCTTTCTGCTTTCATTCAGACAGAAGTTTAACTAAGGAATTGCTGATGTGGAGGAGGCTACTGAGGGATCTGAAACCCTCAACAACACCGAAGCAGAAATCTTCCAAGTGATAATTTCCCATGGTTTAGTTTGGAGAAAAACTTTGTGCACCCTTGAATATCGGGGAGACAGGACACAGAAAAATGAAGTTCCTTGGCTTGGTTCTTCAGGGTTCAAGAATTATACCCAGCATTGTGTGAGAGAGTCAGCTTTGGCTCTGATGATTGTATAAACTATTTCCAGATGCCTACAAGGAACAGAATGATCAGCCAATGTCACCACTGTGTGCCAGACTTTAGGATTCGGGATGAATCACTCCAAATCCTAGCTTATTCTCAAAAACTAATTGGACCAGAGATAAGTGCTGGTTTGACAGCTGGGGAGAACTGTAATGATCACAAATTGTGACAGTTCTTAACAGTGTTATCAAATGCTGCTCATCATGGCCAATAAAAACAAGGACAAAAATCATACAAAACTCATGTAGCTGTATGGTTTGAAAGCCTTCTGTTGAGTGAGGAATGATGAAAATGAGAGCTCTCCTAGAAGTCTCTGGGGTGTGAAGAAATGTTACTTAGAAAGTTTTGTGTAAGCAGACTTGAGGAAGCTGCTCATGTGCCTTGGGATAGCTATTTCCAGAAATGGTGTTTAGCGAAGAATATTATTTGGTATTTGCACGCTCTAATTTTTGCTATCATGTGATGGAGCAATCCTTTCTTTTTACTGCTAGAAGTGTCTTTCGGCTTCTAAAAATCTGTAGAATAGATACAAATGTTGAGACAGCTATGTGTGTCTTTGTAATAACATACAGCTAGCTAGTTAATCAGCCTGGCCGTGAGTTCAGGACAGCAAATTTTTTTTTCCTCTATATTCCCCTCCAGATTGGAAAAAATTATTTTTAATGTGAATGCCAGGTCTGGGGCCCTGCCATCTCCCACACGTGCCACATACCCAGTAACTGTCAAATGCACTCCAATGCGCTTGGTAGGGAGCGGGGCTCTGCTGCAAGAGAGGGAATGGCAGAGCTGTGGCCATTGCTAGAATAATTACCTTTCTGCTTTGTACCCTTGGCTGCGTGCGGTGCATTTCTTGATGTACTGCCTGAATAGCCTGATCCCCACCACGCTGAGGGAACAAAAATAATCAGACCAAAAAGAAGCCTTCTGCTGGCCACCAGTTAATTTAGGGCCCGTGTATAGTTTAAAGCCAGAATAGAGGTGTTTAGTCTCGCTGAATAATTCTGGGGTTACATACATCAACACCTTGATGATTCTTGACTGTTGAAGTAGGACAAAGTAATCCTCAGGCTCTGCAGAAAATCTCTTGGGTGACTTTTAGGGTGGGCATCGTTGCCCAAACCAGGAGAGACTGCTAACTTGCTGGGAACCTCCTTGTTTGCTTTGATGGTGTATGCCTGCAGTTTGGCATCCCAGTACAGGCTCCTGACCTGAATCTAGTCCCCTGATTTGACATTACTTCAAACCAGACTAGGCAGTGCATTTGAATGGGAGTGAGCTTTTGGGCGTCTGTGTAAAATTTCCCTTTTTCCCTGATCTGTCATTAAACTAACTTAGCTGATATCTATGGCTTTTCAGTTACCCGAACACTCTTGAAAATCAATTTGCAAACAATAGAAGTCTCCCAAGTTGCTTGTATTTATGTAATTATTTCTTCAAAGAGGTGGTCCTGCTTTGTGAAGGAAGGCTGTGGGATGAGACTTACTTTTAAGCTAAGCTGTAGTAAGATATGGTTTATACAGTACAGTTGATACTCCTGAGGTAGTGACTGCCTGGGACCTGAGACTTTCATGGAGAGTGAAGAGGGGAAAGAAACATGACAGAGTGTGGCCAGCATGTGCTAAGCCATGTTGTGTATACTGCACTTGTACCATAAAGAGGGAAATCTTGATGTAATTAGAAAGCAGAATGAACTATTGAATGCTGTCTTTTGTCTAAATTATCTGAAAAACAAAAAGGTGTTTTAAAAAGGAAGGGGGGGGGGATTCTTAATTGCGGGTTGGTTGGGGGTTTTTTGGTGAGTGTACTGAGTTCTAGGGCTTCCAAAGTGTTACCATATGTTCTTGTTGGTATGTGGTGTTTGTTGCTTACTCTCTCAAACGGTTTTCCTTTCATAGTTGTATCACCTTCAAACCAACAAATGCCTGGTTGCCCAGGGCCACCCAAGTCAGAAAGGAGGCCTGGTGGTGGTTCGGGAATGTGACTACAATGATCAAAACCAGGTATGATATTCCTAATTATGTTAAATAGTGATTCACATATTGCAAATTGCTGTATGTTTTCCTGCTGGCAAAGTGCCCTAGTATAACATCTCATCAGCAAGCAGGCTGATGTCAGAATATTGTTCAAACCACAAGGCTGGCCGAGGAAACTGAAGCTTACTGCTCTGTACCTACTAATGCTGAGTGTTGGGTATTATAATCTCCCATCTTTATGGTGTAAATCTTGGTACGTGGCAGAAGACTATCCTTAAGTGGCTCCTGATGGGTTTGTAATCCACTGATTGACTCTTCAGGATTTGTAGAAGCTCTTTCAGTCAGTTCCTCGTACCAGGATTTAAGGCAGACTTTTCCTGGCCTGCTGTTCTTTGTGTACTGTACAGCTAATCCTCTTCTGCTGGAGCGGCTGTATTTGGGGTGAATGAACGATTTGTTGTTGTCTTTAAATAGAAGGAATTATAAGGAATTTAGAAAATTCTGTGGCTACAGGTGATGATTAATTGGGGATGGATGTGAAAGTCTGATGAAAGGTTTTATATTACTGCATGAAGCGTTTGCTATTCAACTTCTATTCTTTCAGGCAACAGAAATTAAAGACTTAGATAAACAATCTCCAGGGTGGAGTGATCTTCACCTAGTGCCAGAAAGAATTTTACCTAGCTAACTACTTGTTGTGTTAAATCGTTTCGAGGAGTCTGATGAGCGGCAAGGGGAAAGCTCTCCTGTTGAGTCAGGAGGTTCAGAGTGAATCCTCTTGTTATCTAAACTCCTTCTCAGGAGCTGAGCTGTGGCTGGATCCACTCCTAGTCCTAGACTTGGTCAGCGGTTTATGTCTAAGGGGTTAAGTATGGAGACACTTACGGATTCAATGTTTGCCTGTCAGAGCCTTCCCAGGGACTTCCACTGAAAGTTTCGAAAAGTTGAAACAATAGGTAATTTATTCAAGTGACAGGTGTCACAGATTTGGGATTGCTGTTGATAAATACAGTGTCTACAGAAAATTGAGCTCAAGTTAATAGTTTAGCGCTTTAAAGTGTGTTCTCAGCGACACGTGTGTCCCTTCTTGGGGGAAGAAGAGAGGTTCAGGCCCGTCGACCTGTCCATCAGGTTTCAGGTTTGGCAGCTCCTCTAAAGAGGGTTTTCAAGTGCCAGTTTTTATACTTTTGAGATCTTTTGACGAGGTGGGACTAAGTCAGTTATGTGTCGATTGGCCGTTGGCATGGCATGTTGTGTCCTCAAAAGTGGGACTCAGAAGTTCAACGCACCCTCGGGGTGGGGAGCTCAGTATGTGCTTAGGGGGGGCCTTGTGTTGCTTATCTGAAGTAACATCTGGCTGTGCGCCCTTGCTCACACCCCAGGGGTCACTTAGTTTATAGTGGTGGGCCATCACCCCTTACTTCTGTCTGATAAGTGAAGCTCATTGTTTAAGTTAACTGCTCCTTTTGTTAACTCTTTGGTGTTTCACTAATGAGTCTGAGCAAGTCTTCCTCTTGCATTGGCAAGTCCAGAAAGGCCATCGATCCACACTACTGCATTAAGAACATTATGATTTAGGACCCTGTAGGACCCAGGTCTAAAACTAGATCACATCTAAAGAGAAAAGTAATCAAAGACACAAAATAAATGGAGCATGGGATGTAATGCAGCATAGCTTGACTAAAGGCGCATTGTGCTAGGCTAACTTGTCTATGAAATGGGCAGTAGTTATCAGGGTATGGAAACTGCAGCAGAAGCAGCAGGATGATTTGTACTAGTCCCAAACAAGAAGTTGTATGCTCTGTCAGGTAATGGGACTTTCTGCCTCCTGCCTGTGTTCTCAGTGGTTGAATGTGACAGAGGGAGACAGTGTGACGGGTGTTAGCCAGTGTCTGGATGAGTGTGGTTGGCTGTAGGCACCTGGTCTCCAGTTGCCACTTAGGACCAAACAACAAATTTCTGCGCTTTGCCTGTGAAGTACTGAGTAATCATCTCTCTTACCAAATTCTAGGTCCATGTTTAAAAGGTGGGTAAGTTTAAACTGGAGTGGAATTCAAGATTTTCCTATGTGATCTCTTCCTTTAGCTGCAAGAGAGTCAGCAAGTCTTCCTGCCTGTGTAAATGTAACAGTAGCTGGTTGGCACCAGTGGCTGTACATTTACGGTGCCAGAGGTGTTACGCTGCTTGCTGAGCCACCCAGTCTGTCAGTGAGAAAGCAGCAATGACTTCCAGTGGATGATGTCCTCAGTAAGAACAGATGGATCCTCACAGTTACTGTTTCCCTTCTCCTTCCTGCAGTATTTCTAATGGAGAACTGCCAGGTGGCTGGAGGAGGAAGTCTGTTGGTTTTCCTTATCAAAACCTTTTTCGGTTTGTGTTTGTTTTTTGTTTTTTTCCTCCCCCTCTTCTGAAGACAGAAACTTCAGTTAGCCTTTCGGTCTTGAGAGACACAAATTAATACTCAGATCGTTTATCTTTGGCTTCTTTTCTCATGAATCTAGTTTACTAGTGGTAAATTAAGCAATTAGTTCTCATAAAAAAATAAAAATGGCTGTGCTATCTTGTTTCACAGTGATTTTGTTCTCTGACCAAGTATGTTAACCAACACCATGGTTTTCTGCCATAAGACTTACTTTGTTCTAAAAAATCCCAAGAGTGCATTCAGGCAGCTCTTTCATATCCTTTTGAACAATCTTGCAGTAGATACATGAGAACACTGTAGAGAAAGACAGCACTTAATTAACAGCTTCTGCTCACAGAAATAGCAGGAAACTTCTGGTGTATTGAAAGTTTTTAACTGTTGTTTCTGGTAACAGAGCTCAACCCATTGGCACTTACAGCTGATTTTTGCACTAGAACCATCTGGTTTAGGCCTTTGGCCTGATAAGAAGGCCTGTGGTGAGTCTGGTGAAAGGCAGGTACCCAGCTATCCTGTCCCCTGGATGCTCACTGGCAGCAAGTTAAGTGTGTGTTGCTTAATACACACAGAGCAGAGTTATTCTGGAAGATACCAATCTACACTTTGCGATCAGAGTTTTTAGTGTTTTTCTGAGCCAAAGATGGTACTTTTTGTAGACTTTTTGCTTTTCCATAAGTGTCTAAGTGTATTTTGACCTCATGTAAGCTTTTGGCATCGTGTGGCAGTGAGTACTACAGCTTAGCTGTGCTTTCTGTGGAAACAAGTTGATGCCAGTTGGTGCTCATTTCATTTGATGCCAGTTGGTGCTCATTTTGTCTGATGCCAGCTAATTTTTCCCTGAGGCACAGGAATACGTTTTCACTGCTTATCTCTTCCAGGCTAGTTTTGCTCTGTGAATAGAGAACACCCTCCCTTGAAAAATACGTGCTACTTTTCAGTAAGTTAAAGGAGCAAGGTGCAGCCTACCTGGCAAAACATGCAAAGGGCTGGGAAGACAGAACTGAGTTGCCTTAAGACTCATTGATTGCAGTGCTTTTGGTTGGAAAATTATCTTCTGTGTAATCTTTTTCTGGAAAATGGTCATCTGTGTAATATAGATGATACATGCATGCGAGATCTGACCTTGAAAAATGGGTGTGTGGGGAAACCAGACTGAAGTCATGAGATTGGCCTTACAAGCAAGTCTGTTTTGCCTTTAGTTTATGTTTGCTTTGTTTTCTCTAGCCTTCATGGCTGCTGAGAAATTTCAAATTCTCACTTTAACTCCTGGCTTTAAAATAAATAACAGATGTTGTGTAACTTGCAGTTGTATCACCAGTGTGGGTGGTACTTTTAATTAAAGTTGACTTAGATGATCAGACAATGCTTTGGGCAGGAATGAACCTTTAGATGTCATCTAACCCAACCCCCCTGCAGTCAACAGGGACAATGATCATCATGAAGTAAAGGTAAAAATTACTCAAACATGTCAAACTATCCTATTTTCTAGGACTTGACACAACAGTGACATTCAGTTCATCTTTTTGCTACGGAAAGGAAAAGCAATAAGGGAAGTGGTTCTCACAAAGGTGACGCATCTAAAAATATTTTAAATATTTATGTCTTTAAGTTATAGTGAAAACTAGGACATTTCATTAACTCTAACAGAAATACTTGGTCTAGGGAATAAGTGATGAAAATTTTGTAGTTAGAACAAGTAGAAGAGGTGACAGGATCTTATAGGACAAAGGTCAGTGCAGAGAGGTCTGAAGTAACAAAAGAAGCAGAAAAATTGATTGAATTTTGCCAGCAGAAGACTGATACGGAATGAAAAATTTTGCAGTTAAGAATGGTTGTATGAAGGAACTGCCAAGATTGCCAAAGTGAACACTCTGCTGATCTTCAGTGGTGTGTCTGGCCTCTTTCTGGAAACAAAACTGAGAATGCACAAGGTAGTGCGCAGCTCAAACTTCAGTGTTGAAGGAGGATGGAAGATCTTCAAGCGATTTGAAAGATCATCATGAAAGACTGGAGATGTCTGAAAAGTGGAAGAAACAAACTGGTGTAGATTCTACCCAAAACCATCATGCCAAGGTTAATCAGGCGGTGATGAGGAGACGAGGATGCTGAAGCAGGGGTTGGGCTAGATGCTGCCCTAGAGGAGGAGGAGTGGAAGTAGTTACTGAGAAACTTGGAAGAGAAGCATCAAAGAACACTGAGAAGGAAGGTTTTGGAGTGAAGCAAAATGGCCAGCCTAGGACTAACTAGTGGGAGTGTCGATGATCTAACAGCAGAAAGAAGATTGGGTTTGTCGTGCCTCTGGTGTGTGCTTGCCGCCTTCTGGACCTAAATGTGTAAAGCCAAGTTCCTTTTCCAAAAAATCTCAACACTGAATTATGTGGATTTTTTTCTACTGTTTGTTTTCAAATACACTAGGTTGACTCCTAAGCTTTACTTTCTGTGTTGTTATAACCTCTCCTCTGTGTGTTTGCTTCATTTCTGTAATTTAACCTTTCTCTTACTTCGCAATATATTAAGCTTTAAAAAGCTGGGGATGGTGCTAGGTGTCTAAGCATGTGCATCTGTGCTCTGGGTCTTTAAGAGATAACTGATTGGAGCAGGCAATTTC